TAAGAGATAAGGCTGATCAACTAATTCCTAAAATTAATTTTGTAAAGATAATAAATTTCCTTTAACTGTTTAAAAAATTATAATTTTTATCACATACTGTTTTATTTTTTTAATAATTCTCTTTTATTATAGAAATTATAAATTTTGATATATTTTATTAACTTACACAATTTATCATAAATTACTTTACTAGTTAAGATTATTTTATTTTAATTTTGATTTAATTTTTTTGTTAAAACTAATAAAAATTTTATATAATAAATTATTTTAAAATATTTTATAAAATTTACACACTATTTAAAAAAACTAATATTTTAAATTAAAATAAAATTAGATTAGTAATTAATACACGAAACATTCAGTTAAATCCATTATTGCGTGTGCTAGTGGTGGGACCTTGGGTTGTATACTTTTGTATCACTCTCTTGGATTCGGATGGGTCACAGCAGCTTGTGCCTAACCTCTTATTTTGGTGCCCATCTACTGTTTGTTGAAATGTCCTACAGATTTTCCGAGCCAAATCTCACGTATAATTGCAGGTCAGTTTTACTTAATCCTTCTCTTCCTTTATTTACCCTCTGGTTTTTTTTAAGACCCCTTATTTGCCCTACTGTTCCCACTACAACCATTCATACAGGCCACAACTCTGAGGAGTCACCCTCAGAAAATGGTTTTCTCTAGTGCAATTATGCAAGGTCATGAATCTATTGTCGTGTTTCTGAACAAAGTTCTCAGAATTCTGATGAGGCCAGACTGGAAAGAAATGAAGGCATCAGATTCGAAATTCAATGCAGTATTTCTGCAGAGAGAAATTGGACCGCTATCTGCCAAGGGTCGGACCTCTGGATGTATAACTTTATTGGGCACGACACGGGAAGCAGCTCAGCTTTTACTTTCCCTCTTTGCTGTCCACCAACTGTTGCTGTACAAATACTGTGAACCAAGTCTAGACAAAAAAATGACAGGTCGGTTTTACTTTATTTTTCTCTCTAATCTTTGCATTTACTTGGGCCCTGCTGGTTATTAATATTAAACTGAAATTGGCATATTTGTTGGTTGGTTTGTTTGTTTGTTTAGATAACAAAATGTATATCAATAGTTTGTTGAAGGATTATTTGTAAAAGAAGATTCGTCAGTGGCTGTCATAATTTTTAGGGAATGAGTAAATTAAAAGAAGATAATCAGGAATTTAAGAGGTAGCACTGGCACAAGGGGAAAGGAGGAATTTTTATGGCTGGATAATTTTGAATTTACTTGCGGAGGCTAAATTCAGTTGATTTTGGCTTTGGGGAGATGGGGAATGAAAATTGCAAAACAACCAGGAAGCCTGACCAATCGAAACTACCAAAAAAAGAACAGAGAATTTTGAAGAATTTATTTCTTGGTCAAATTATAAAAAAAGAGCTAAAATTGATATATATTTACAAAAAATTAAAAATATCTGAGTTTTCATATTTAATTTTTTTTTACATTATTAAAAAAATCAAGAAATACATTTTTCTTAAAGACAAATGAAACATATATTTTTCATTCATCCATTAGTTTAGTCGAAAATTATATACCATTTACAATATATTTAAATTAATTGGAATAGATAGATTGAGTGGAACCAAGGTTTTGAAAACCGGACCGGATCGGCCGGTCGAATCGGTTGAACCGGTATCCGGTAGTATAAACGGTTTGATTTTATCTTTTAAACCGTTTGAAGATCAAACCGTTTGAAAACCGATAAGAATCATTGGAACCGCTCAAACTGAAAAACCGATAAGAACCATTGGAACCGCTCAAACTGGAAAACCGTTCGACCAGACGGTTCAATGCTTGAGAACAAATTGTCCCCCATGAAGCTTGAACTTGCAACCTTGAAGCCTTTTTAGTTTATTCCAACCCTTTGCCACCAGGACAATGCACTCCGTGTCAATGGATGCTTGAAATTTTATTTATTCTATTTTTAAAACTATAATATTTAAAATTTGTTCATAAGGGTATTCGAACCTGTGATCTTTGATATGAGAAAACAACCACCTACCATCGCACTCAATGGATATCTTCTGAAATACTTTACAAAATAATGTATTTATACTATATTAATGAACCGGTAGTTTTACCGGTTAAACCGCTCAAACCGTGAACCGGAGGTCAAAACGGTTTGACCTTCGGTTCGGTTTTAAAAACATTGAGTGGAACAGAGAGGTAGGGAGCAGAGGAAAAAAATACTCTTGATGAAGTTATCCAAAAAAAAAAAATGGAGGGGAGAAGGGAAGGAAAGTGAGAGAAATGAAGCTTATAATTTTCCTCTCCTCTCCCTCTTTCTTCTCTCCATTCCCTCAACCCAACATAGGATTAGATTTAATTATTCCTAATGTTGTACGGAAGTTTTTAAAATTTATCTTATTGTTATAATTTAACTAAGGTTTCATTTGAGAGTGTTAGATTGTGATGTGACAGTAGATTTTTTTTTTTTTTATTTTTAAAAAATATAAAACATTAATTGAAATTGATAAAATTTATTAATTAATAATTAAAAATAATTAAAAATAATAAATTTACTTTTTTAAAATAAGATGTAGTGTGAAAAGTATACGTAGGAATGTTCCTAAAAATGGCCTAAAATTTACTTGTATGCACACTTCATGCAGTTTGAAAGCATTTTAGAACAAGAAATTCTTTAAACTTTTCAAACATTTCTTTTTTGAACATTAGAACTTTTCAAATTAACTTGTTTGAACCCACTGGCA